CTCAGAGAAGTTTCAATTATTTTCCCAGGGTCACCCACAGCTATTGTCACTTGCCTTCCTGCCTCCAAGTCTAATATTCTAACCATTGGCTCAGTTTCCCCATCTGTAAAATGGGTCTAATAATATCACCTGCCTCCCAGGGTTTTTGCAAGGATAAAATGAAATAATATTTATAAAGCACTTTGCAAACCATAAAGCTATATTAATATTAGCTGTTGTTATTATTCTCGTTACAATTATTGTTATTACATCACCTCACCACTGGGGGTGGTAGTGGACTTCACTATCAGCAGTTAAGGTGGCTTGAGTACTTTAAAACACAGCACCATTGTCCTATCCAACCTGTAATACCATAATTTGAAAATTAGGCAAAAAGATCTATTGCTACAAACTTAAGTTCCTCTTGATCCACTTTTAAGAAGGTAAAACTCTGAGGTTTCATTAAATCACAAGTAACTTTAAGGGTTAACCAGAAGCATATTTGCTATTGATTTGTCAGCAGTGACAATTCACTCTGCCCAAATAGATACTAATTAGTAATTAATGAGTACAAGTTCATGTGAGATGAGCAGGTTGTCCTTTCAATTTCCTGGCCAAGGAAGTAGATAGACCTAGGAAAGCATAGAAGATGTCTAAATCTGATAATAAGCTTTAGAAGAAAAAAAAAGATCAATAAAAATGTTTTCCTTCTCATGTTTTCCTGTTTGTCAAGATTAATATGGAGACTCCAGCACCCCTACACCCTATGAGTAAGATCTGGAAGAGATTCCTTCAAAGAGCATCGTCATGGGAGAAATGCCATGTGTCTCCCTACGGCATTTCAACATCTATGCTTGAGTCAGTGATTTCCTCAGAAGGGTTTGCCAAAAGGGTAAGCTTAAAAAAAAAAAAGGAAAAAGGAAAAAAAGCTTATTCATCAGAAAGTAAGGAAGAACAGATCTAGTTTTCACTATATTCCAACCTATTCTGAAAGGTGATTGAAAATGCACCTTTTTTTTTAAATGTACCTTCAAAAATCAATTTAAGGGGCAGCTAGATGGCAAAGTAGATAGAGCACTGGCCCTGGAGTCAGGAGGACCTAAGTTCAAATCTGGCCTCAGACACTTAATACTTACTAGCTCTGTGACCCTGGGCAAGTCACTTAACCTCATTGCCTAGCAAAAGAAAAAAAGAATAAAAAAGAAAGAAAAAAAAGCAATTCAAAATGCAAAGGAAAATGTTAAAAAAATACAAAATTAAATTGAAACTGATTCACATATTCCCAAAAACACAAAGCCATTTGAAAAAAAAAAGATTCACCTTTTAAGTTTCTCCTAACCCAGCCAGAGAGCCCTTAACAATAGCAACAGTCTCCACTCTTTCACGGGTTCCAAACTCATTAGCAAATGCTAACAGGAGGACACACTAATACCTTGTGTTTATTGCACCCTTCTTTGAGGAACTAACAGCAATTTCACAGACTTCATCCAACTAATCTTTGCTAGATCCCCATTAGCAATTAGGAACTGACAGATACGATCTTCTTCATAATTGTGGAGATGAATAAATTTGAGTCATGAAGAGGATAAATGCTTATCAGAAGCACCTAGGCGGTGAGTGGATACTGTGCTACGCTTGGAATTAAATAGACCTGAATTCAAATCCTGCCTCAGATACTGACTAGTGAGGGACTTTGAGCAAGTCATTTAACCTCTGTCTGCCTCCTTTTCATCATCAATATTGGGCAAACAGATGGTGCAGTGGATAGAGTATGGGGGTCTGGTGTCAGGAGGACCTGAATTCAAATCTGGCCTCAAATGCTTACTTAGCTATGTGACCCTGGGCAAGTCACTTAACCTTGTTTGCCTCAGTTTCCTCATAAGGAAATGGCAAATTACTCCAGTATCGTTGCCATTTGTTATGGTTTTTTAGTTCGTTCAGTTGCATCTGACTCTGTGACTCCTTTGGGGTTTTCTTGGCTAAGACACTGGAGTGGTTTGCCATTTCCTTCTCCAGCTCATTTTACAGATGAGGAAACTGAAGCAAACAGGGTTAAGTGACTCGCCCAGGGTCACACAGCTAACAAGTGTCTGAGGCTGGATTTGAACTCAGGAAGATGAGTCCTGAGCCTTTAAGAGAACCAAGGTTTTCCAGCTTCCAGGCTAGTGTTCTTACCCCGATATCACACTGAGGAAGCACAAAACAGCAATAGCTCAAAGAGAAATAAAATGAAGAGAGTAATAGAGTACAGTATAGCAGACCCTGACCAAAAAATGTGGATGGCAAAGTGAGCAGCTGACCTGTTTCTTCTTCCAAAAAATAAACGTTTTCAGGGTAAAAGTACTCATTGCCATACAATTTACAGCTGATGGAGAAAGAACAGAGGAAACGGAAATACAAGAAAGAACGGGAAAGACATTGTGAAGAGAACATTAACAGCCCCTGACATCAGCTAAAGCAGCTGATATTTGACATCCCCTTCCCCCACCTCCACTCTGCCTCCTTGTGTTTCTGGCAGTGTAATGCACAAATCTGCCTCCTCCCACATGGACACTATGGGAAATGTAAAGCAACACAAGAGCCCATCTCAAAGAAATGCCCAGCAGTGCAGGAACCCACAGGTAAATCACTGCTGCTTGAATTGCTCTAAAGGGCTAAGCACACTGAATATTAAACAAATCCCAGAATCCTGACGCTGCCACTGAGGGATGAGTCACTTTGCTTGTAGTCACCGTGGTTTTTTTTTTAAAGCCACACATCTTTTTTTAAAAAAATTTAAATTTTTTTTTTAGGCAATTGGGGTTAAGTGACTTGCCCAGGGTCACACAGCTATTGTCAAGTGTTTGGTCTGAGGTCAGATTTGAACTCAGGTCCTCCTGACTTCAGGGCCAATGCTCTATCCACTGAGCCACCTAGCTACCCCCATTTAATTGTATTTTTAATTACATATAAAAATTTTAACTTTTTTTAAAATTTTGAGTTCTAAATTCTCTCCCTGCCTCCTTCTGCTCCCCTATTTCTTGAGAAGGCAAGCAGTTTGATATAGATTATACACGTGAAGTCATGCAAAACATATTTCCATATTAGCAAAAGAAAACAGACACACAAAGACCAAGAAAAATAGATTTTTTAAAAAAATACGCTTCAATGTGCATTCAGACTCCATCAGTCCTTTCTCTAGAGGTAGATAGCATTTTTTGCCATAAGTCCTTTTGAATTGTCTTGGATCATGGTAAGTCATGCTAAGTCATTCGTTTAAGTCTTCCCAAGTCTTTATGAAACCATTCTGTTCATAACTTCTCTTTCTTTTCTTTTTGCTCTTCACTTCTTAATAACATAATAGTATTCCATCACAATCACGCACTGCAACTTGTTCAGCCATTCCCCAATTGATGGGCACCACCACAAAAAGAGCTACTATAAATATTTCTGTAAGTATAGGTCATTTTCCTCTTTCTTTGATCTCTTTGGGATACAGACCTAGTAGTGGTATTGCTGGGTCAAAGGGTAGGCACAGCTTTGTATTTAAGGCTATATGGTTTTTATTGAGTACGTGTTAAAGCTACCCCAGGGAGAGAACAGCACTCAGGAAATATAACTCCATATTGGTAAATACAAGCAATCAGCAAAGTGACCAGTCGGGAAAGGGAAAATATTGTTGTTATATATTATTATCAGAGAGGAAATTTTTAAGTTGATCTCTCTTCCCAATATCTCTACAAGAAAAATGTGTTCTAATCATTCAGAGACTGCAGCCTCCATTTTTCCAATATGCAAGTCTTCCCTCAAGGCCACTAATCTAAATCAAGATTGTGCTGTAGGTATATTAATCACATCAGAGTTTTGCTTCATCATCTGTTTCCACTCTACTCATCACTGATTTTTTTATAGGTGCTATAAATCTCACCATGCTGGGGCATGTAAAATGTATGGCATCTGTGTTTGTGAAAACAAAACTCATAACAACATGAGTGTGCCATAAAGGAAAATGACTTCTGAGAGATAGAAAACTGGTAGGCCAATAGAGACCCCTAAATCACAGAATGCAGAGGAAGAAAGATGTTTCTTTATCACCAGAATTAAACAATTTCCTATATTCAACAGTCACTTTGGCTCATGTTCCCACAAAATATCCTTTCTTGAACCAATGCCTGGGTATAATTATTTGTAATTGGATGGCAGAAAAATCATTTAAATCATAAACAAAAACAGTAACAAAATACAAGTTGTTCCTACTTTTGTATATCTCTTTAAAAAAAAATCTTTCCTTTTCATCATATCACCAGATCTATGGATAGATTTCAGGGGGTCAGCAAACTTGGATGAGGAAGAAAATTACATCTTTATATTCACTAACCTTTGGTTTCCTTTGAAATACTGTGTATTTTATTTTATGCATTTAAAAACAATATCCTGAGAAAGGGCTTCACCACATTGACAAAAGGGGCCATGACATCTGCTTTAACATCCAACCCTTCTCCTTCTCAAAAGCACAATGTCAATCTTGAAATCAAATCATCTGGCCAGAATTTTCAAAAAAATTAAAATAAAATTGTTCCACCGACAGGCCCAGAACAGTAGGATATTTCTAAAGAAAAGCCTGCCATTTTCAAGGCAAGCAAATTTCATTAAAATTTGAACACTGTGATGGAGAGCCAAACCACCCCCATTGTGTGGTATGCTTGTGCTACAGTTTTAGAGTTTAACAGCGTCTTAGAAGTCATTGAGTCCAACTCCCTCGTTTTATAGATGAAGAAACTGAGGCTTAGTGAGTCTAAGTGACTTGTCCTGGGTCATACAGCTAGTAAGGGTCAGAGGTGAGATTTAAACCTAGTTCTCCCTGGGTTCTAAAAGCAGCTCACAGCCACCAACCACTATCTACTAAGCCACACTGTCCCTCCTTGCATTAAGGTTGTACAATCTTTTATGATTCTCATCAGCCCAGAATTTGAGAGGTAAAAGAGATGTGAGCTGCCACCCAGTCCAACTCACACATCAAAGGCTCCGCCACAATAACATACCTGCCAAATCATCATCGCCCAGCCTCTGCTCCAAGACCTCCAAGGACGGGGACCCCACCATTCCTGGAAGCAGCCCATTGTGGAGCACTGTAAGCGGCAGGAAGTTTTTCCTGACATCAAGGCTTTAGTGACCTCTTTGTGCTTTCCGTTCCTTATTTCTGGCTCTGTACTCTGAGACTAAACAGAACAATCTCCATCCCTCCTCCGCATTTGTGAAGATTCTCTCATGATCCTCAGCCTTCTGATGTTACAATAAATGTTACAATAAAATGAAATTCCTCCATTTGGCAACAAAATGTCATGGTATTCAAATTGCCATTGCCTCCCTTTCTCTGTCTGCTGGGAAAGTAAAGCTTGGGGAGTGTGTCATATAGCATTACCCCCATTGCCCATATCATTGGCATCCCCCCTCACCCTCCTCCTTCCCTTTACCTGTATGCAAGACAGTGCCAACAATGTGATTGAGCTCCTTTCCCAGTGATGTCTGTGCCCTCTGTGAGTGCAGAGGTGAAGGCACGTGGCTTCCTTTGGGGGACGGCCACCTCCCCAGACCTTCTCATGATAAGCAGTCGCTTTCTGCTGGCCTAGCGTCAGCAGCCATTCTGTTTCTTCCTCTCACCAGGGCCAAACCATTCACGGTAAAGGTCACCAAGGAACCCACTGCATACATGACAAGCTCAGGCACTGCAACTTACTCAGATAAGATATGGAGACCAAAAAAAGCCTGGTGTTCTCCCTTGCCTTCGGGTCATCTGTGCAGCTTTGGAGCCTGCAGCAGCAGCCTGAATCTGGCCTGATGTACCAGTTGGTGGCTTAACACTGGAGCAGATTCTGAAGTCTCATGAGTAAGGCAAGCTCACCTCAAGCAGCGTATGGGGGCTCAGGGTCTCCTCTTGGGAGAGACCATGCTCAGCTAGTGTTCTCAAGGTAACACTGGGGAACCTTCCAGGGTCCTGCCAATACTCTCAGCATCACAGGATTCCCTTTTGATGGACCTCCTTGCAAGGGAGTTCAGTTACTCAGAGACTGGAAATCCAGAGCTTAAAACCAAGTGATAAAGGAACATTCAGCTACAAGTCAAGTAGCAGCTATTGTTGCTTAACACCTTTTCATGGATAGCTGGTGTCCACTGGCCCCCACAGTCCACTCAGTTTCCACCAAGTTTTCTCCTTACGAGAAGAATGTCTTATCAGGTAGATTACCCATAGCAATGCGATTCCCCAGTGCCTCTTGGGTAATTCTCTTTCCCAGCTTGCTGCCTCCAAGGTACATCTAATGTGTCACTCCAACAACCATTCAGAATCAGGCTTCTAGCCAATGCTTAACTCTGTTCCAAAAGCCAGAGAGGTCCAGTCCGTTGGTAGTTATTCTCCATGCTCTCCAAGCAACACTCCAACAAGGTATCATGGCAGGATCTAGAACCCAGGCATCATCCAAGCCCTATGACCAAAGGTAGCCAATAGACTCAGCGTGCCCATGGAGAGCTGAGTGGCAGCACACACATCATAAGCTCCTGCTGGACAAGAAAACCATACCTCCAGGTATGGATTCTCCAGAAACATTCACAAAGAATCCCAGCTTCTCCCATTCCCACCTTGAATGTGCAATGGTGCTGATCTGATGATGACTGGAGCAATGGGCTGCCCCCTCTCCCCTCTTTTCCTCCCTCTTCAAATGTCTGTGTCTTCAAATTTAAAAAAAGCAGATCAAAAATGTTTCAGGCTGAACTGCATAACCACTCGAGCAACATTCCAACAGGTACAATTTCCTCCCTGTGCAAGCAAACAGGTATTAGGTTTGGGGAAACTGTACTTAATGAATGTAGGCCTTTTGATGCTTCCAAGGAGTTTTCCTTTTGTCATTAGAACAATAAAATGAACCCCAAAGGGGGAGGGGCATTTTTAGTTCCTTTTGTGATTGCAAATTCAATCTCCTATAATCCACTTATTTCTTTCAAGCCTTGCTTCAATATTTCACCGTGGAGTAGAGGTTACCAGAAGTTCTTGAAGGCTATACTAGTGGATCACCCAGCCCTTAGCACAGTGCCTAGCAAATAGTAGGTGCTTAATAAATGTTTATTGACTAATCGAATGAATGGGCTATTCTTGGAAACCTGCCAAAGCTTCAAGTAGGACTGCAGATGGTCTGTTGGTCTCCATGTCATTAAAGGACCAGCCTGCCTAAGCTCACCTCATCCCCAGAAGGCTAGCTGGGAAATGAAGAATTTGGTTGATCATTGCCTTTAAGGATACATCCTTGGAAAGTTGATGACTTGAAAGAGAGGAAATCACCTAACTCCAGAAGTTCCGTAGCCCAATCCATCTGGACATATCAGGCCACAACATTGATTAGGAGGATGCCTAAGAGGATTTTTATGTAGACGAAACAAAAACAACTGAATTGGCAGTCATAACAGTAACACATTTATCAAAATGCTTTCCTTAAAACATCCCCATAAAGTAGCATTAAGATTAACAACTCCATATTACAGGTGAAGAAAATGAAGGGTTTTTTTTGTTTTGTAGTTATATTTTATTTTCTCCCAATTATATGTAAAGATATGTTTTAGCATTCATTTTTATAATATTTTGAGTTCCAATTTTTTCTCCTTCCCTCCCTCCCTTCTCTCACCTTTTCCTAAAGTGATAAGCAATTTGATCTAGATTATATATGTGGAATCACGTAAAACATATTTCCATATGAATCATAGTTGTAAAAGAAGAAATAGACCTAAAGGAAAGAAAAAAAGCAAATAAAATAAGGTGAAAAAGTGTGCTTCTATCTGCATTTAGAGTCCATCAGTTCTTTCTCTGGATGTGGATAGCATTTTCCATCATGAGTCCTTTGTACTTGTCTCAGATCATTGTATTGCTGAGAAGAGCTGAGTCATTCATAGATGATCTTCACGCAATGTTGCTGTTACTGTGTACAATGTTTTCCTGGTTCTGCTCATTTCACTTTGCCTCAGAAACTGAAGTTTAAAGAGATAGTTAAATGACTTGCCCAAAGTCACAGTCACTTGCCTCTCTGTGCTTTATGATCCATCGGCTTTCTCCTTCCTCATACATATGACATGGCATCTCCTAATTCCATGTCTTTTCATTGGCTGTCCCTTATGTCTGGAATGAGATCTTTCCTCCCCATCGTCTCCTAGTTTAGTTGGATTTCTTCCAGACTCAGCTCAAATCTTACCTTTTGCAAGAAGCCTTTCCTCATATCTTCTAGCTGCTAGTGTCTTTCCTCTCAGATTACCTCCCATTCATTATCTGTCTATCCATCTATCTGTCTATCCATCTATCTATTTATCTATCTATCCATCCATCTCTCTATTCATCTATCTATCCATCTATCCATCCATCCATCATCTATCTATCTGACGCGAAGATGTGTACATACATATACATATATGTGCACATGTATATGTGTGTATATTATATAGAGATACAATTACCCAAAGTATAAATACTTTGCACACATTCCAAATTTGTGCTTTTGTGCAAAAGTACTATTTCCCAAACTATGTAACACACATAATATACATTATGACACATGACACAGTTTTTTGCATGTTGTCTGAGTTCCTTGAGGTAGGGGCTGTGGTTTTGCCTTATTTACATGTAGCTAGCTAGCATTTGTGTATCACTGTGAGGTTTGTAAGGCATTTTTTATATATTATCTCATTTGATCCTCACAATTCTGGGAGGTAGGTACTATTATCATACCCATTTTATAGATGAGGAAACTGAAGTTAAGTGACTTGTCCAGGGTCAGTTAGTAAGTGTCTGAGGCTAAATCTGACTCAAGTCATCCTGACTTTAGGCCAAGCCTTCTGTCTACTTTTGCTACCTAAAAATGGTTTTATTTAGACCCCTAGTCACTGCACTACCCACCTTAGCCTGGCACATAGCAAGCATTTAGTAAATGCTTGGTAACCATCTGCCTAACTGAAATGTCAGGGCTGGGATTTGAACCTTGGTCTTTCGAATCCTGGCCCAGGGCTCTGTCCACCCTGCCACACTATCTCTGGACAGCTAAGAACAGGGACAGTTTTCACTTTTCTTGCCTACAGAGCAGACAAAATTAATTCTTCAAATAGATATAATATTAATAACTGATACTTTTATAATATGTTTAAGATTTATAGAAGTCTTTAATCTGATTCTCACAATGACCCATGGAAGTAAGAAGCCCAAGCATTATTGTCCCCATTTTTATAGATAAGGAAACTGAGGCTCAATGAGATCACACAATTTGCCCAGGGCTACACAGCTTGTAAAAGACATACTTACAATTCAGACTCAGGTCTTAGGAGTCTTAGGAGACTCCATGTTCACAACCCTTTCTCAAACACAACTGCGGGCTCTTCCTTTCAGATGTAAACCCAGATCCCCAAAGACACTCTGTAAGGAAGCACCTTCAATGGTACTGAGGTCTCAGTGCTTTTGTTATTAAATAAAAACATTTCCCACGTAGAAAACAAATGCATGCTATTCACTCATATATATTTTTTAATTGTCAATTATTTTCTCATACCTTGAAATGTCAGTAGAATTTTAGAACTGCTCCTAGAGATTTTTATTTTATGCTGGTAAGGATTCCTTCATTCATTTTCATAACACCCTCAGGAAATAAGACTTGTAATATTATTGTTATTATTTGTTTTTCTTTGCATAAACCTAGGTGAAAAGAGAGAATGATTTTTCCGTGACTAACTATGCCCACACACACAGGGTGGCTCCATTTCAGAGCCAAAATTAAGATACTTAAGAATTCATTTCTCACTGATGTGTGCAGACTCCTAAACTGTCTCTATTGTTCCAACAGCCATGTTAAGAACGAATGTATTGCTTTTAATTAAAAGATTCACAGTGTGCCAACACTTTCAGTCCCTTCAAGCAGTGAGGGATTGGAACTATAAAGGTTTTTCCTATTTTTACCAAGGTTGCTCAACATCTCTGAGTAAAAAAGTGAAGACTGTAATTTGCCTGAAAGCATTTACCTTCTATTCTGTTTTGTTGGGAAAAGGAAAAAATATCCTTACCTGATTAAAAATGTAGGACTGAGGATTTCTAGGATAATTATAGATTCTACCAAAAGAATCAAAATTCTAGAATCTTTGCAACATTTGCTTTGTTTATCCTGGAGAAAAACAATATCATTATTATATTTTTTGGCATTCCAAATAGTCTTTGGAGTAACCTGGGTTAATTAGGTGCTGCAGATCATTAATAATGAGGATAGTAATAAACTATGGAGATTTATACC